ATATATATATATATATAGCGCATATCCACTCTCTACAGTACAGCATGCTCTATACCCTTTCTGTTATTACCCCAGCAGACCATAGAACACTCAGAAACATTCTTGGCTTCCCAGGAGGCATGCAGTGCAAGCTGTGGGTTACTCGCGCTTAATCTTTCGCTGTCTATACACTGGTACCCATTTCCACCTTTGTGAAGCGAGTGATAAAATTTGTGCGTAAAGTCTTTTCACAAGGACAGAACATTTATTGGTCCCTGACGGTGTTAGAATCCATGACCTTATGGTTGTGAGTGTGGGAGCCTGGCCACTTGTTGTTTGGTCGGGGAGGGGGGTTTGCTGTTGTTGTTGTTATTGTTATTATTATTGTTGTCGTTTCTGTTGCTGTTAATTTATGTTCATTTTTTTTTTTTTTGGTTTGTTGTTTGTCAGTATGTTAATGGGTTTTTTTGCGCCCATAAATAGCAGCTTTCACTGTATGCTTCCCATAAAGTTGAGATTGTTTCAGAATTCTATCAGATCTCTGGGGTAATAGTATAGACTGCAAAGCGCATGGGACTTGCTGTTGAATGAGAATGTGTGCTGTACAAATGCTATCTATTAGTACTATTTCTTTGTTTCTTCCTTTTTTCTGAGATAAAAGAATAGAATTAATGTTCACATCCTGTGGCATTTTTACAAAGATCTCATCAGTATCGATGCAGGCTCATTGTACTAGTACAAATGTCTTTTTGTAAAAAAAAAAAAAAATGTCATGATGTCTACGGGGGATTGGGGGAGGGGGGGAGCTTTGCCGGTACCGGCTGTGTGTTGTGGAGCTCAGGCTCACAAGCAATGTCAAGTGATGTCGGTGACACAGCATACAGATAGGGGGCCACTGGAGTGGGTGTTTTGAGTCACAACACACACCAGGCCAGGGCGTTGCGGCGCTGCAGCGACTGTCAACAGTGACGTGTTTGCATTGTCAGTTTGTCAGTATCATGTCATTGCGTATACATCATCTACAATGTATCCTATATGCTCTAGCTACGTGACTAAAGTAATTGTAAACAAATCAAGAGGCCTGGGACAAGAAAAATATGTTGTCAATTTTAATACGGATTCATATATGAATTTTCTTTTTCTTTGGGGTGGAGTCCGGAATTCACATTGGGTTTTTCTGTTCCTTATTGCTTTTAGATATTTTGGAGCTATTGGGGATTTTTTTTTTTTTTTGTTTTGGGGCTTTTTGTTGTTGTTGTTTTTTGTTTTGTTTTGTTTTTTGTTTTTCTTTTTTG